TTTTTTGGTAACTTAATTTTTCCATTATTGCTCGAATGTTCTGCGGAAATCATCTTAATTACAGTGGCACCCTGGTCGTATTAAAACAAACTAACGGAATGGCGACCCAGGCCCTGAGCAGATCTGGAGAAAACAGGATCAGGATTGCGTCATTTTATTTACCAGCTGAAACAGAAATCAGAGATTTCTGAATCTTTGGTACAGAAAAAAAATCTTCCTGGGTAGCTTCGGAAATGAAATTTACTGTTTTCTTTATAGCATAGAAGAGCGTCCATTGCTGCAGAAGAAAAGTCGGCGGATGCGAAGGCAGAGGTATGTAACCATGGACCAAAATTATCAGTAATGTTTTAACTCACTCAGGGATTCGCGAAAAAAGGTATTTCAAAGAGAAAAAACGTATACCATCAGGCCCACGTAGGTGGGGTTTGCCAAGTATTGTCAAGCAGATCGCTGCACATTAAATTTGTTGCCCTTTAATAAACTAATGTATTTAAGTGTAAAGTTTAGTAATTTGAAGTTCAATTAGTCACACCATAAATACTAAAGTATCCTGATTTCTAAGTAGCAAAAGTTATTGTATTGTAAGCAATGTACTTGTATCTCTATTTTTGCTGCAAAAAAATAAATAAATAAATAAATAAATAAATAAATAAATAAATAAAAATAACCAAAAAAACAAAAGTTAAAAAAAAGAGATATATATTACCCTAAGTGTAATTTCTGGCAACTTCCCATTCTGTGTACAGCGAATGTTGTAACAATTATTGTTGCATTATAGGATGAAGTTTTTGAGCGGGATGTAGTTGAGCAGAGTAAAGGCGACAAGGTATTGGAGAGGTGTCTTGTCTTCGTGATCATAACTTAATTCAAGGCTCTCTTTTTTTTTCCTTACAAAGTCATATCACATATGAGAAATCGTCCATAAAAACGCCATCAAAAGATCTCGCTAATAAGCATTCTGAATGTATTCCCAGTGACTTCTGACAAAATTTGACTCTTGAAGAATGAAATGACTTTTTCTGCCTATAAAGCAAGTTTGTGTTGGGTCTCATATAGTTATTATAGACTAGCCAACAACATGGTAATCTACCGGTGCTGCAAATCACCGCAGCTGGACAATTTCAGTTAAAAACTTCCTTCCACACAGGAACCCAACTATTTAAGAAACCTGTCTTTCCCTCTCTATCCCC